CGCCGGCCCGCCCCGCGGCCCGGCCAGGGGCCCAGCCAGGCTACCCCGCGGCCCAGCCGGGGGCCCAGCCAGGCTACCCCGCGGCCCAGCCGGGGGCCCAGGCAGGCTCCCCCGCAGCCCAGCCGGGGGCCCAGCCAGGCTACCCCGCGGCCCAGCCGGGGGCCCAGTCAGGCTACCCCGCAGCCCAGGCAGGTGCTCCAGGGACCCAGGTGGGGCCTCCTGGAGCCTGGCCTGGTGCACAGGGGACTCAGGCCGGTTACACTGGGCCCCAAGCTGGCACTTCAGCATTCCCGCCTACATCACCTGCAGCTGGTCCCCCAGCTCTAGCAGCCCAGCGTGCAGCTCCACTCGGGCCTCACTCTGCCGTTACATCGCCGGTGTCACCTTTCCAAGAGAAAGACAAAGTCCTACCCTCATCCATTCCGCAAAGATCCTCCGGGTCCAGCAGCGCCTCCAGCCGCTACTCTGATACCGTGGAAGCGCTGCGCCAGATAGGGCACCTGGCCGACCTCTATACCAGCTTGCAGGAGCAGATAAACCACCTGGGACAAATCAAGTGCAGCCACGCTGACCTCGAGAAGCTGCGACAGTTCCTCTCAGAGGCAGGTAGGGACTTCCCCCTCAGCCAGTGGCTTCATCGCGTCCGTCCAGGGCGGGGGAGGGATGCAGGCAGCTTTCTGGACAAACACTCCTTGGGGCTGGCTTCCCATATGCCCCTTGAGAGCCCTGGGCTCCGTGTCCACATGAATGGGGTGACAGAATAATGTGGATTCCCATTTCATGATGCTGACTGTAGACTTCTGTGGGAACCACAGTGGTGTCTGGATGAGCAGTGGTGCTCTTGGCTGGAGCCTGGATCCTACCCCATGCTGCTCATCCCCTGGGGCTCACTCCCCACAGAGAAGCGCTTGGTGGAACAGGGGCAGCTCACTGAGACAGAGCTGTCATTGAAGGGTATAAACATCCTGAGTGGTACTCAGTGGATCAATATTCCACTGTGGGACTCTTGTGCTGACATTGACAGAGGCCTTGGGCTCACTCCCCAGGTACCATTTTGAAACAGGCTCTTTTATCCCAGCTGGATCATTTTCTGGTTCAAGTGCCAAGGACCTTGTTGCATTTCCATCCTGCATCCCAAAAGAACATAAGAACGGCCAGACTGGGTCAGACCAATGGTCCATCCAGCCCAGTATCCTGTCTGCCGACAGTGGCCTGTGAAAGGATACAAAATATCCCAACGGGGGCACTGGGATGAGGATGCAGGGATTGCAATTGAATTCTTTTGGTGAGCTTCATATCTCAGCTTGTGTTGGTTTGGAAGCTATCACTGGTAATCTGCTTTCAGGGTCTGCATCTGAGCTAAGCCATAGATTTATTAAAGGGAGGACTGTATATTTCTACTAAAGAGGAGAGGTTAGACATTGATAAAGTGCAGATAGAACAGAAAAGAAAGAAACAAACAAAAGGGTCCCATTCACGAAGGCAACAACTAAATATGGGCACATTTTATAAGTGTGCCTAGACCAAAGCCATGCTGGTGGTGGGTAGGGCACTCTATGGAATGAAAGCAAAGTCAATTATGCTCAGCATCTTAAATGAATCAAACTGTACCATTGACACTCTGTGGGCAGAAAGTCCATGCTTGAATAGGAAGAGTGTAGCCACAGGTGTGTACTACCAATCTCCTGACCAGGATGGTGATGATGACTGTGAAAGGAGATTAGAGAGGCTACAAAAACAAAAACCCCAGTAACAATGGGGGATGTCACCTGTCCTCTCAGGACAAGATGCAGAGAGAAAATTACAGACACCATTAATAAGTGCTTCTTGGAACAGCTAGTCCTGGGGCCCACAGTGGAAGAGGCAATTCTTGATTTAGTCCTAAATCCATCGCAGGATCTGGCCCAAGACGTGAATATAACTGAACTGCTTGGTAATACTGTCGCTTCAATTGCTGCAGCAGATGTCCAGAGAATACCTAATGTGTGACTGATTTTTTTTTTTTAAAAGATTTCAGACGTGATCCTGGCAATTACAGGCTGGTATGGACCTTGCAGTGTCAGGCAAATTACCTGAAACTATAATAGAGAACTGAATGATTGGGTACATAACCAATACAGTATGTTGGGGAAGAGTCAAAGTGGCTTTTGTAAAGGGAAATCCTGCTTCTCTGATCTATCAGAATTGTTTGAGGGAGGGAGGCAAGAGGGATCCAGTGGCTACTGTATACTTAGATGGTCCAAAAGCCTTTGACAAAATCAGAATTGTTTGAGGGAGGGAGGCAAGAGGGATCCAGTGGCTACCGTATACTTAGATGGTCCAAAAGCCTTCACCTCACCAAAGGCTCTCAGGCAAAGCAAGCTGTCATGGGCTAAGATGAAAGGGCCTCTCCTGGCTCAGTATCTGGTTAAGAGACAGGAAACAAAGGGTAGGAATTATAGGACAGTATTCAGACTGGAGTGGTGACCCCAGGATCTGTCCAGAGGCCACTGCTGTCCAACATGTTCATAAATGATTAGGAAAAGGGGGTAAAAAGCGAATGAGGTGGCAGAAACTGCAGATGACATAAAGTTACTCGTGATGATTAAGTCCAAAGCTGTGTATGGAGAGTTAGAGGGATCTCACAGAGCTCGGTGGCTTGTTGATAACAGCAAATTAGTGCATGTTGGAAGAAATAACCCCAGCTGTACTAAGGGGGGGATATGGTAGAGATCTATGAAATCACAAATGATGTGGAGAAAGTGAATGGGTGTTATTTACCCCTTTACATAATATAAGAATCTTAGGCCACCCAATGAAACTAATAAGCAGCAGGTTTAAAAAGCCGAAAGGAATTATTTCTTCACACAGCACATAGCCCGAGGACCTTGTTGGCAAAGAATGTTCTAAAGATCACAAGTGTAACTGGGTTCAAAAAGGGTTAGAGAAGTTCATGGAGGATTGCTCTATCAGTGCCTGTTAGCCAAAAGAGCTGTCCCGAGACTGCTGGAAGCTGGGACTAGATAACAGGCCTCACTTAATAATTGCCCTGGTCTGTTCATTCCCTCTGGGGCACCTGGCACTGGCCACTGTGGGAAGACAGGACACTACTAGTTGGACCAGTGGTCTGACCCAGTTTGGTTGTTCTTGTGTTCTTAGATACTAGGGGTGGAAGGAATTGCCGGTCTTACTGGTACAGCGGGGTCCTTGGCAAGGTGAGGGGTGGCTCTGGGCCCCTGGAAGGGCAGAAGGGTGAGTCAAGGGGGCCAGACTTCCCCAGTCAGCCCTTCAATAGCAGCAGCCAGGAGCCCTAGGCACCTTTAAAATCGCTGGGCCCCAGGGCAGCTGCCCCTCCCTTTGCTCTCCCCTCACCCAACCAGCAGGGCTGACAACTGGGGGGACCAAAAGGGCAGTGACATTGACGTGCAGCGCTTTACCATTGGCCATGTTCACACCGGTACCAGCCGCCGGTTCTTACCAGCATGGCCCATTCCAGTCCGCTTTGCCCTCTGTCCTGTGTCCAGTCAGTGATGTGATTCCTTTGTATTTCCTTGGTGGCGTCTAGTCCCGAAGAACCTCTCCAGCATGCCTGCCGACCTCCCAGACCAGCTGTCTGCCCTAAAGGCACTGGCAGAAGACATGAAGGAAGTGAAGACTAAGGTGAGTAGCTGGGGCGCCATCTTGTCATCTAGCCATGGAAACGCTGATGGCAATGAGAGTTCACTGTGGCTGGCTGGGATGGTGCAGGAGACAGGGACTTGGATACTGTAGCATCCCGGATCTGCATGTGTGCTGTAGCTGTGGAGTTGTGGTATTGGCATTAGTCCTTGTTGCTTGGTTGTGTAGTTATGCCTCTGAACTTAGACTTGGGAGAGCTGGATGCAATTTCAGGCTGTGCCACAGGCTGCCTCTGGGACCAGGAGCAAGTCACTTAAGGCTGGATTCCCTCTAGGATGTTACACTAGTGGAAAATCAGGTGTAGCAGAGCCTGGATCTGCTACATTCCCCTCCCAGCGCTGACACATCAGCTTCCTTCCCATGCAGTGTAAGAGGCATCACAGCTGCTTCCGTCACTACTTCTCCTTCCCCCTACAGAGGGAGAATTATCCAGGGACAGCTTTAAGTTGTGAATCCAGCCCTTACATTGTTTCCCCTATTATCCATGTACAATAGTTAATAGTATTTCATTTAATTCCCCCCCCCCCCACCTTTGTCTGCCTTGTCATTTTAGACTGTACGCTCAAGAGAGCACAGACTCTTTCTGTCGGTGTCTTAGCAAAGTGCCTGGCACTGCGGTTCCTGAACTCGCTGGCTTCTCAGCAACAATCAGAAGATAAAGAATGATCATAAGAGCAGCATGAGGAGAGGGGGAAAGGAGACAGGGTGGGAGTTTGGCCCTTGTGTCCCTCAGAACATGTGGGACAAAGCCCAGTGCTTCCTCCCTGCCCTAGCCCCCTCGCAAAGACTCTCCAGGATTCTGACCCAAACCCACCTGTGCTTTATTCTCACCAAGGATTATTTTACAGCACTGACAGTGCGCTAGGCTGCCCGGTTGCTTTCTGTGGTCAGTTCAGTTTTGAAGAGATGCAAATCCTTTAAATAAATAATGTCAACTGCTTACAGCTACATGCAGCCCTGAGGTGTTTGGACCCAGCTCATGCGCTGGGGAGGGGGCTGGGAAGTTAATCAGCCGGTTTGAGGGACATTCTTGCAGACAGACTTGTGCCCTGGAGTCCTGACTCTTCATGGTTGTCATGGTTCTAGGTAAGGAAGCTGCACAGCACCCTGGAAGGAGAAGTGGCAACAAAAGCAGATCAGAAAGTGGAGGGATCCAATCAGATTAACCTGCAGTTAGGTTACCTCAGGTAAAAAGAGGAAAAGAGCCATGGATGCTGCTAATGCCCAGAACAAGCCTTGGTCCCACTGGATTCAAATGGGCTGTAGAGCTGCCCTCCGATAGGACAGGAGCCTGTTAACAGAAAGTCCCATTATAAAGCTACCTTCCACTATTACATGACACATGAATCCTGGTCCAGAAGTCATAGGGTTCATACCTGTGCTGGAGAGCTGGATTCCATACAATTTCCCATTTCTGATCTGAATCCCGCGTGTAAATGCTAGTTCTGTTCAGACAGTACAGCATCTGAGTGGCTACAGAACTGAACTACACTTAACTAATCAGGCTCCCAGGTAGTAACTCATGACCAAGGCCCCTCCCCTGGGATGGGGCTGAGCTGTAGCGTCCGTCCATGTTCCGAAGGCTTCACGTCAAACTGAATTGTGTAACCTTAAAGCAGTGGTTCCCAAAGGCTGGTCTGCGGACTGGTGCCATGAACCCCTGGCTGCCGGGCCATGGGGGCTGCCAGAGCTGAAGCTGGCTGTTTGCGGCGGCTCTGGGGGCCAGGCTCTGGGGGCCACAGCAGCCAGCTTCAGCTCCCGCAGCCACCATGTGATGGGCATCTGCTGCAGCTGAAACCGGCTGTTCATGGCAGCCCCTTGGTGGACTGGTAACATTTATTTGCATATTTGCACATTCATTATTTGCATAATGAATATGCAAATTAAATGTTAAGGGTCTGCCAAAAGTCTGTGAATGGGTTTGCTGGTCTGCGGTATTAAAAAAGGTTGGGAACCACTGACCTAAAGGGCATCTCCATGCTAACTAGCCCGCATCCCACTGGGGCTGGCTTGAAAAAGAGCTGGGCTCTCACCCTGCCTCCCAAAGGATTTGGTGCAGGCAGAATCGTTTTGCAACAGGTGACCTGTCTGCCATGGCTTGTAGGAACAGAGCGACCTGCGGGGTCGTCACTTAATATCCTGCAGGGAGCAGCCACGTCTCCCTCCTGGGCCGAGCAGAGCCTTGGACCGTGTTAAATGCGCAGTTGGGCTGCCCCAGAGCAGGGCTGTCGTAGAGCGGCTGGCTCCAGGCCCTGGCTCTCGGTTTGCAGAGCTCGGTGCCAGGCCGACATTTGTAACCTGACTAGGGCCATGGGGCAAGGCAGGGAGGTACCTTGCACCAGGGCTGAGCACCCATACAGAGGAGTTTGTGGGGAGAAGGGGGCTGCCATTGCTGGGTTGGAGGGAGGGAGGGGGGACAAAATCCAGCTGTTTGAGGAGTGAATTGCGGTGAGGGACACTGGGCCGTACGCTGGGAGGCGGGGTTCCTAGGAGAACGCTGGGAAGGGTCTAACAGCACAAGACCTCACCCCTCCTCTTCTCAAAGCAGGGGGACCTGGGCAGCCAGTCTCAGCTAGACAGAGCCATAAGAACGGCCGCATTCCTTGTTTGGCCTTTGCCTTTCTGGGTGGTTTGGTAACGCCACAGAGCTCCCTCCCGGCACCATGGCCGGAACCCAGTTCAGCCCCAGGGTAAATAGGCTGACACCAGGGGAGCTGCTCCTGAGCCACATTTGGCACGGTGCAAGGTTAGCTCCGGTCCCTCGCCGTGCTCTGAGCCCCACGGGGCCCTTCTGCTAGGCAATTGACCCTTCCTGTTGTTGGCTCTGTGGTCCAGATCGACCGTGCACGACATAGAGAAAGATCTGCGGGAGCTGCGGGAGCAGCAGGACCGTGGCAAAGCCAAGCTGGAGCAGTCGGTGGCTGACACAGCCCTTTACCTGCAGGAACAGGTCAGGTGGTTTGAGGCGAGAGGTCGGGCTGCTCACTGGCTTCCTGTGAAACGGCTGCCCCTGGGGGCTGGCACAGTGGTAATGCCAGGGGTCTGTGCTTGCCCCTCCTCCAGCGGGGTCAGGCCCAGGCCACTAACTGCTGCCTCCCTTTACCCTGCAGGGGAAGGAAGGAGCCTCTGAGCTTAGCCGGAGGCGCCGGGGAAGCGGTTGTCATTGGTGTAGAGATGCAGTGCTGGCCAGGGCCCCAGGGAGGTGCTTTTCCACAGGCTGCTGTCTGCCGTGATGCAGCAGGGCTCTGGAGCTGGCTGAGGGTGAAGGCTTTGCTGTGCTGTCAAGGGGGCGCAGGGGAGCAGCCCAACGGTTCCTTAGTGCATCCTGGTGGCAGGTCAGTGGGCTGCCTTGTGCCTGGGGGCATTAAGATGCTCTGCTCGGGAACCAGCCAGCCTGTCTTCTGCAGTACTTCCAGAGCTCCGCTCGATGCCGCCTGGCCCAAGCCGGGGACCGTAAGGCAGGCTCCAAGGCAGCTCGGCCTGGCTTCTAGGGGGAGCGCTGCTTCCACCGCTACTAACTGGAGAAGGTACCTAGGGGCCACGTGGCCCACCATGAAACCATGAGACTCATCCATTGGCAGATCGGTGGAGTCTTGGCCAGAACATACTGCCTCGGGCACTGCCCATCTCACCGCTGCCTACATGCTTTAGCATGCAGCGAAATTCTGCCGGGAGGCGCCTATTTCAACCCCGACTCCTTCTCTCCCCTGCCTATAGTTAGACAAGCTTAGATCCATCATAGAGAACATGATGGCCTCCTCCTCCACCTTGCTTTCCATGAGCATGCCTGCTACCCCGGAGCCGGGGCAGGCAGTGTCTCCCCATGGCACATGCCCGGCTTGCAGCCTAGATGTCAGCGAGCAGGTTAGCCAGCTGTTCAAACGCTACGAAGAGCTGCAGGATTTAGTTAGCAGCTTCACGGCGAGGCACGCGGAAAGCAAGCCAGCAAAGAGGCCGCATATGAGGAGTCAGGTAAGGCCAGCCAAAGGGACGCACCCTCCTTTCTTAGCCACGCTTCCAGGGCAAAGCTGCGAGGGCTGGAGGAGTTCAGTGGCGCTGCGAGGGGGTGGCTGAGGCTGGGTCCGTGCAGTGAGTCAGAGCAGCAGGCAGCAGCCCGGCATGCTGATTGCTGCTGTGCAGGGCTCATGGGAAGAGCTGCCCACAGGACTTGTGTGACTGACCGATTCAGCCCCTCTGCCTGCACAGCATGCAGGAGCAGATCCCTGGGAAGCCCAGAGGTGCTTGTGTTACACATGCTGGCTGGCCTGGCCCTTCACCTTGAGAGTCATGGATTCAAAGCCGCCTTTCCGGGGTCCCTGTCAGAGCACATTCTGTGTCTTCCCCCACCTAGTGGAGCAGAGCTGCTGCAGGTTGGGGCTGAGGTGCCTTGGCAGAGCAGTGTGTGGGGATTCCAAGAGGGGCTTAGCAGAGCTGCTGCAGGTTATGGTCAGCAGAGCTGTGTGTGGTGCAGCTTGCTCCTTATCTGCTGTCCCGTGCCCAGCCAAGGGCAATGCAGCCACTCTCCCGCTGGCACACAGCTTCCCCAACACGCTGGAGACGAGGTGGCGGCGGGATTTGAACAAGGATCTTGGCATAGCCATTTGAGTCCAGTGCAAACCATGAGGCTTCCGTCCTGCCATCCGCTCTGTGCTCTGCAGCGCGGCACAGCATCCCCCCTGCTCTCAGACGCACATTGGGCTGTCAGTTCTGCATGCAACTTCTAAGCCAGCCGGCACAGCATCCCCCCTGCTCTCAGACGCAGTTCTGCATGCAACTTCTAAGCCAGGCAGTCCAGCCCCCTCTTCCATCCATGCACCCCTGTCAGAAAGGGACTGTCCCGTGTCTGGCTTGACGCTTGTCCAGAGAGCTGGGAGAAGACCGAAAGGGAACTAGACTCCATGGGTTACCCGACAGAACATCTGCCATTAAACGAGGAACCTGAAGTTAGAGGGGAAAACAAGGCCCACTGGGCCCTCAGGGGAATGGGGGCGCCAGTTACGTTCCTGCCCCTCACTGGTATTTGATCTCCCATGTGGGACAATATAGTGGCCTTATGACACACGTACCGCAACAGTCTTACATTATGTCAAAGCACCAGTATGTCGCACTGATGCAGTGTTATGATCTGTCTGGAGACTGGGCGCCAGGACCTCTGAGCTCTTGTCCTATCGCTGTCCTGGCTCGTGACCTCTCTGTGCCTTTGTTTCCTATTTTGTAAAACGGAGACAAAAATCTTTGCTTCTTGGTGGCTGGGGATTGTGGGCCCAAGTTGGCCAATGTATGGAAAGGAACAGTTAGTGGCCATGTTGCAGTGGTCATTTCCTAGATGATCCAAATGGCAGGATGCAGCGGTGCCTTTGCCTGGCTGGGTGGACCATAGGAGATGCTAGGGTGATTCCTAAGGCCAGATATTCAGCTGCCACCTCTCTAAAAGTCCTGGTCGCTGATCGTGTCTGTAATGGTGGGCACAGACTCATTTTGCCCAACAGGTCTAAGAGCGGGGCAAGCCACCATCATGCACACGGTGCTGGCTTTGCATGCCTGGAGGAGGTACAGTCCGCGAAAAACAGTCATCCATTAGGAATGTTGTAAATATCACTCCTAAAACCAAGGGAATCAAACTGACTCATGCTTTGCCTGCTCCAGTGCAACCTGTAGGTGCTAGCACAGAACTTCAGACACTCAGCTGATACTGGGAGCCCCTTTTTACCTGGGCTGTGTCCAGCAGGAAGGGATAGGTCGTGGCTACCCCTATATCATTCTGCCCAAGGGAGACTGGGAATGGATGAATTGTCTATGGGGCCTGGCACCTCTAGGTCACTCATTGAACTGAGTAGTAGTGGCCGACAATCCCGGCCCTGGATGCCGGGTGAGGTTCTTGTGCGTGTGACGCCTGCGGTTGATTCAGATCTCTGTGTCCAAGGGAGCAGGTGTCCATGTCAGGAAAAGCGCGTCCGCAGCTGGCAGTCACTGCGGTGAAGCCAAGCTGTGGCTGGGCCCAGGCAAACTGCTCTCCCAGCTCCAGAGGAGAGTTCTCCAAGTGAGGCAGGGGACACGCTGATGGGGTATTGTGGCTTGTGCCTGCCCCTGCCATGCCTGCTCTGCAGTGTGAAGGTTTTGAGTCTGGCAGCAATGATCTGCTACAGAGCGTCACTCTCCCTTCCTGCTGCCTTTGCATCAGGATGAAGAGCTGCTGAGTCGCATCCAAAACACCATCCTCCAGGTGCAAGGAGACTGCGAGAATCTCAACGCCACCACTGGGAACCTCATAGAAGACCATCGGCAGAAGCAGAAGGATATTTCTGTAAGTGACAGCAGGGGCCTGGCTAGAGGGGCTGGGATAAAGCCCTGCCTGTACTCCCCAAGGGCTTGGGTTTCTTGGTAATCGGGGTGCTCTTGACACTGTGTATCTGCTCGTTAGCAAGGAAAACAAACCAATGGGAAGAGGAGGCGAAGGATCCTCTCTCCCACCCTGGGAGAACCCAATACATGTACATAGTGCAGGGCTGGCAAGAGGCTCTGGACTTGCTGGCCCTGAAGCTGCTTTCTCCTCATCCAACATCCAGTAGTGCAGGAGTCATGCTTCTGAGCTGCCTGTCATGGTACAATGGGAATTTGCTGCACCTGGAATCAGAGACTGGCTCCGGAGCTATCCCGCCCACCATAGACACTAAAACGCCAGCACCTGACACACACTGAATCTCTTCCAGGGAGGGCACCCAAGGGAGAGGCAGACAGGGAGCATCCACTTGGACAGCCCTCCTGTCCGCTGGTCCTTGCTCGGCCTACGTGTGTTCCAGTCCCCACCATGCTGTTGTGATGTGTTAGCTGAGTGGCAGGCGGCCTCCAGGGAGCATGCAGTCATCACAGCCTTCCCGTTCTCTGACCAGCTTTCATCCTCCTCCTCTGCTTCTTTACAGCTTCTCTTCCAGTCCCTGGAGAAGTTGGAGAAAGAGAAAGCAGACAAGGAGCATCTGGAGACAGAAATTGACGAGGTAAGGGGGTGGGCAGCACCAGCTTAGGGGTAGCAGACACACGTGGTCTTTGCACGGTCAGGCTCTCCGTTCGGCAGGAAGTGGTGGCTAAGAGCCCAGGCTGGAGAGCTGGGATCAGTTCCTGGCTCTGCTGTGTGGGACTTGGGCAAGTCCCTTCTCCTGACTCTGCTAGAAATGGGAATAATGACTCTTGCCTTGTGCACTGCTGTGAGCTCTTCTGGTGAAAAGCGCTAACCGTTGTTTTGCATTTACATCCTCGCAGTGCAGCACAAAGCAAGGAGACTCTCCCTGCCGCTGTTACACTCGCGTTACCTACGCGGAAGCCAGAATTGTTCATGGTGGCCCCTTAGTTTGGTGCCTCGCTTGCTCAGTGGCTGAATTAGGGATATTAAAATGTGTGGCTCTGATTGACACAGAGTGGCAGCCAGCTCCCCAGCTGCCAGTGTGCACTAGGAGCCAGCTTTTAAGCTGGCTTCTGGCATGCCCTGGCTCGACTGCCACCCTGCTCCCAGAGAGCCAGCTGTTGCTGATACAACAAGGCATCGCGCGGGGCAGTGGATAGCTCCCCAGGAGCCGGAGTGAGCCACTTGTAGCCAGTTACCCTTTTAAATGACTTCACATTTGTGTCCCTACTCTGAATGAGACTCCCTGAGCTTCCAGAGATGCTGGGTACCCACAGCTCCAATTGCAGCTCCTCCTGAGCTAGGCCAGAGTATGCAAGAAGGGTCCATGCCCGCGTCCTCCTGGGTTATGAGTGAGGAGCCATCACAGACCATCCAGTTCTTCTGAGCTCTGAAATGCTGGGGTAGCATCTGATTGAAATGAGCGAAGGGGAAGGAGACAAAGAAGAGGGACAGAGTTGGCAGATGGAGCCTGGATTGTGGAAGGAGGGAGGTGCCCTGTGCAGCAGGAGTGCTGTGTGGAATGCTTCCCATGTGCCCTGGATCCAGTGTTTCCTCCCCCCTCCTCTGGCCCCACCGCTCTCCCCCTTTCTGCTCCCCGTTGCCAGAAAGCAGACAAGATCGCCCTGGCTGGCAAAGTCAGCCACACCCAGTTCGATGCCACCACGGAGCGGTTGAATAAGATGATGCAGGATCTGCTGAACAAGATGAGTGGGCAGGAGCAGGACTGGCACAAAGTGCTCGATAAAATCTCGGTGGAGATGGACTCCAAGGTAAGCTGGGGATGTGCCGACTGCGTGGCTCACAGCCCCACCTTGTGCATTAGCCGGCTGCCAGCCACTGCAAGGGGCAGGGGGGGGAAGAGACTTTGCCCAGTTTGTAGCTGGGCAGGGTGGGGAGCTTTGTCCTCTCTGGGCAGTTGCTGGGGGGTTACCCGTGTTTTCAGGCAGGGCCTGGGCAAGGTGTGGAGGGGGGGTGGCTCTGCACTCCGGGAAGGGGCGGGGCCATGGGCAGGGCTGCGGGCAGCCAGTCCTCCGTGCCACCTGGAGCACAGTGCATATGCCCCCCAGCCCTTAGAGCCGCACGGAGTGTGTGGTGCACCACTCCAGCAGCTATTAAAGGGCCTGGAGCTCCAGCCACTGCCGCAGTTGCCGTGGTGGCAGATGGGAGCTCTGGACCCTTTGAATCACCAGCCCCAGGCCAGTTGCCCCCTTATGCCTCCTGTCAATGGCCTGGGCCTGGTTTCTATTTTCCCTAGAGCCCCTTTACATCTCTCTGGGGTCTAAGTGAGCCATAGTTATGTCCAGGGCCTCTCTGAGGCCCCTTCATGCTGCCAGACCACGGCCAAGGGGCTCTGGAGCACATGGCAATCTGACCAGCAGCATTTTATTTTTGATTCTCATTTCCTTCTTCCTGTTCCTCCTGGATTGGACCCGCGCCTGGGCCAGGGAGCCAGGGGGCTTTGCCACACCTGCTAGGAGAGCTCTGGGGACGGATTGCCATGCCACATACTACAGGCCACATCTGGACACCTGCCCTGCAGGACCAGCTCTCATCCAGCTACTGCTGGCCTCCGGGAGGTGCCAGGGCGGTACCCAAAGAGCCCTGCCTCCTTTGTGTTTAGTCCTTAAACCAGGAGCCCCTTGAGGCAGGGATTCTGGGCAATGCTGAGCACACTGGGGCTAAGCCAGGCAGGCTTTCTGCTTCTCGCTCCAGTCCCACCCTATTTCACAGGGCTCTGCATCCCCCAGCACTGGCCACTGTACCCCTGTGACAGACTGACAATGCCCTGCAAGATCCCCAGTGAACCTCACTGATTTCAGTAGATGCCAGTGGGGGAGGGCTAGGTTGGATGTTAGGAAAAACTGTTTCCCGGGGAGGGTGGTGAAGCACTGGGATGGGTTCCCTAGGGAGGGGGTGGAATCTCGTCTCGGTTTGACAAAGCCCTGGCTCGGTTGATTTCGTTGGGGTTGGTCCTGCCTTGGGCAGGGGGCTGGACTCGATGACTCCTGAGGTCTCTTCCAAACCTTGGATTCTATGAATTAAATGAATTCTTTTGGGGTCCAAAATGCAGTTGTGTGGCGGGATTGTATGTATTTCCATGGGAAGGTCAATCAGACACCAGCTGCGAGTGATCAGGCACATTCGTTCAGATTGTAACATCGCCAAAGAAATACACCTCCCCCCCCCGGAAAGCAAGAGTGCCCGGGGGACTGTCTGTGCTAGGAAATATACAGTGGAGACAGGAAACTGTGCCGCCTGGAAATACCTGGGTCAGAGAGCGAGAGAGGCAGGACTCCACCCATGAAAAGCACCAGCTGGGGTGCTGGAAGCCAGAGAGCAGATGCCTTTGCTGGGCCACTAAGGGGAAATACAGGGGCAGTTGCCCTGAATTGTGACAGCCCCCGACTGTGGGCAGACAGACTTGCCCACCTTGTTTGATGTCCTGCCCACATGGTTCTTCTCATGCCATCCTGCCCCGCCCCATCACTTGGAGATGTTCTGTGGTCTGTGAACCGTCGGAGGTAAAGATGGAAAGCCCCCACTCGGTGTCAGAGCACTGCCCGCACTTCCAGACTGCTCTCTGCGGTTCATTTCCTAACCCTTCCTCCCCTCTTATTCCAAACGATCCAAGTGATGGAGTTTCCTCGGCTTGTCTTGAGAGTCCATTCCCTTCTGAATAGCGGGGGAAACTTCCTCGGGTGAGACCAGCCAGCCGAGGATTTCCTTTGCCTGGCTTCTTCCCATGGCTCCTGCCTTTGGAGTGCATCTCCCCTTTCCTGAGTGTTCGCTGCCTTGGAGCCCAATATTGTGTCCCTTTATCTGCTGTCTCGGTTCATGGGTGAGATACACGCTCGGAGCTCTTTCACGAGCTGTGCATTGCCTTGCAGCTGGACCGCCTGGAATTAGATCCCTTCAGACAGCAGCTGGAGGAGCGCTGGAAGGCCATCCGGAAACAGCTGAAGGAGAGGTCTCCGCAGTACGAGGCAGATGATGCTGCTGGAATTAGGAAGTAAGGCGATGGACAGCTGAGCTTCTGGGCTGCACTTTGGACCAAGGGATGGGTCTCTCTGACGTGCTGTGGTATCCTCAGTCAGGCTGACTTCTCTTGGGGCTTATCTACACAGACGTTGTCAGGGGCGGTCCGAGGCGGGCTGCAGCTGCTGGTGCCCCAGGCGGAACGCATGATCGGCGCCCCCGCCTGCATGGCCGTCAATGGCCATGACATCATCATTGGGCACCCCATTGAAGACAGCGCCCTAGGCGACTGCTGAGTTGGCCTGTGCTCACGGGCCGCCCCTGGACGTTGTACATCTTGAACCATGTTGGGCTAATTTAAAGCACCTAGTGTGGATGTAATTATACGGATATAAATATGCTTAGAGCACTATAGCTGTTCCTATACCGGAAGGGGAATAACTATGCGGAAACTTTATCCTGGTATAACTGAATCCCCACTAGAGCTTCTACTATAGGGCTAGTGGTTAAAAAAAAAAATCACACTCCTAGCCAACATAGCTATACTGATATAAAAATGTGTGGAGACCAGACCTGAGGATTTCTCTAGTCCCAGCCTATTCAAATACTATTGAAACTTTCCTGACCAAAAGGTAGTACCAGCTTCTTTGCTCCTGTTGTTCTGTTGCTGGCAGAAGTGTGGTTTCAGAACAGGGAGGCCGAAGATGGAGATTTTCAAAGCTGCCTAAGGGACTGGAAATGAACAGGCATCTAAATCTCTTATGCAGGTTTGAAACACCCTGTCCTAAAAACTTAAGAATTGAAACCTAACAGCTGGCAGCTCTTGAAGTGTGCTAGGATGTCAGTGTTGTTACTGATCGTATGTGGAAGGCACCAGACGCTGCTGATGGACAACAGTGCAAAGCCCTTATATAAAATGGCACAATCACAGTCATGTATGGCCCACATGGTATATGAGCTACTGATAGATCTGACATCGAGTCCTCTTCCCAACCCATACATGTACACATGTACTCTCTCCCATGGGCCTCCTATTATTTTTTATTGAGCCTAACATCAGATCCACTGGGAGGGGTGGAAAACAAAAGCAACAAACTCTGATGAGTCAGGTTTTCCCCCTGCTTCAGGCTCCTTCTCCAGGGAAGGCAGGGGTGCCTGTGGGGTTGATTTCAGCTGTGACTATGGAGTGATGTTTGAATGAAGGCCCAGGTTTGGGGCTGTCACTCAGTCCCTTCAAGAGAAATTGCATCTTCCAGTCAGCTCAGGGCAGGTTTGCAGTACAGGCAGTCCCCGGGTTACATGGATCCGACTTACATCAGATCCCTACTTACAAACGGGGTGAGGCAACCCCACACTAGCTGCTTCCCCCCAGCAGACCAGGGAGACGCAAAGCTAGCACCCGCCCTCAGCTGACCAGGGAGACGTGGAGCGGCTTTTCTCAGTAGACACCTCAGCTTGAGAATAAAGGACTGAGGGAAGTGAGGTGAGGGAGAATAAAACTGAGCTCTGGAGAAATGTTTGGCTAGAGTTTCCCCTACAATAAGCACCAGTTCCGACTTGCATCCAAATTCAACTTAAGAACAAACCTACAGTCCCTATCTTGTATGTAACCCGGGGACTGCCTGTAATTCCTTGCTGTTGAGCCATGAGCCTACCCTTGCTTTATGAGTGGTCTGAGTGATTAGCAGCAGGATTAGTCTCAGGTTTGGGGTTCTTAGCACCCTGCTCTCAGAAGATACAGATCTGCATCCTGGCTCTGTGCCCTCCCCTTCCAGCTTTCATAGGTTGCCTAAGGTTTACGTGGGTGCAGAATTCTACCCCTTCATGGCAGGTCTGCGCCAAGTCACACACGCTTTTAAGCGCATTTGTACTGGGGTGTGTAATGCTGGTGGAACTGCAGACAGGGTGTAGCATGTTCCTACCGCACTCATTGGCCAAGGTCTGTTTGGTCAGTGCGAACGTGGGGTAAATTTCATATCCGTTGATACACGTGTGACACACGATGCCAGGTGTGAAACGATTTCACAGCAGTTACAGGTGTCAGGTTCGTGTACAACCAAACGTAATTACGCTGGCAGTGGCGGCTAGTGGTTATGCTGGACAGTTGGAGTCAAGACCACTGAGCCTGCCACTGCTTTGTAGTGTGATCTTGGGCAAGTCACTTCACCACCTGCACATGGAGGATAATGACTTTGGCCCACCTAGCAGGGGCTGTGGAAGGAGTTAATGTGTCACTTTGCCCTTTGTGGTGCTGTATGGCCTCAGAGCTCAGGCCCCGGTGGTGCTAGGAGCTGTTCAGAGTCCCTACCCCACACGCTCTGACTAGACCCCTTCATCTTAGTAACTCTAAATATTATTGTCATTCTACGTAGGCTCGGCCAAAACCTCGTCTGGTGGAGATAATTCCGCTGTAGTCAATGGAGCTCAGGATCTGGCCCAATACATAAAAGTACCTACATGGTAACCTGTATAAAATTAGTCCCCTGGCCAGTGTATTGCTGATGTGTAGCAAACAACGGAGCTATGGATATAGATCATGCTCCAGGTCACTGGTCTTAGACAGACTGTGCCTGCTCGGGGGTCCTGTAACTTGAACTTCAGGCCTATTGTCCTTAGTACAGATTGAAAGAAACAGTTCATGCCTGTGCCCAAGCCTGTAATGATCCCTGTGTCTGGTTTCACCCCAACAGAAGGCTGATGGCTCATTTCCACTGCATTTCCTGTGACAGACCTCTGGAAATGGTGGTGCCTGGCCCGTAAGTACTGGACCATTTCCTAAGTGCATGGATGTAAATGTTTTCTTGCAGTACCCTGGGCTCTCCAGATGCTGCAGCCTGTCATGTGTCTCTAGAGTTCATAGTTGTATCAATGACATATCGGAGATTAAAGTAACCTAGATTTCTTACAGGTACTGTTGTACTGCAGCCTCCTGGAGGGGGAGTGTCAGGGCAGGGGAATGGGGGTGGTCAATACGACAGTACCTGTAAGAAACTAAGGGTGGGTTGGAGTGTGGGGGGCTCAGGGTAGGGGCTTGTGGTATGAGTGTGGGGAGCGCTCAGGTCAGGAGATGGGGGTATAGGGGGTGCAAGAGTCAGGGCAGGGGCTTGAGGTCTAGGGGCTCAGGGCAAGGGACTGGGTGTGTGGGTGTGCCGGAGTCAGGGTTGGGGGGCATGAGGAGGAGCTCAGGGCAGAAGGTTGGGGTGTGTGGGGTGTGAAGATTGGGGTGTGGGGAGGTGCAGGAGTCAGGGTTGGGAGAGTGAGGAGAGGCTCGGACAGAGGTTTGAAGATGCGTGGTGGGGGTGCCAGATTCAGGGTTGGGGGCGGTGTTCCCTGTAAGCTGAGCGCTTGGGCAGGCTGGGGAGGTGGGGAGATGTAGGACTCAGGAGTGATTGTAATGTGCCTTGGTGCACATAATGTTTGGCTCGGGTGTGTGGAGGGGCTTGGGGCAGGGGATTGGGTGTGGGGGGGGAGGGAAGGCAGGGGGGACAAGGGCACCATTTTGGGAGGGGGGGCTCCAGCCCTCCTTCCCCCGATTTGTACCAGGACGCTGCTTCCTATTCCCCTTCATCACTCTGTGAGGGAGAGGAAAGTGCACAGGGTGGGTCAGCCACTCCTCTGCCCCCCCTTCCCTCCCCTCAATAGTGCCCTTGTCCCTCTGCCCTCTCCCCTACACACTCCCCACCCCCTGCCCAGCCAGGAGGGGGAGGCATGCGCGCACGCTGTGTGCTTTTCTCTTGCTCTGGGAAGGGGAAGAACAAAGCAGCAGCCTGGGACGAATCTTGGGGGGTGCCCTGAGGCGGCCTCTTGGCTGGGGCAGTTATGGATTGTGGGGGGGACCCGCAATTGGCCCTTTTAATCTGCCTGGGCTGCCTGCTGCTTTGCGTGGTAGCCTGCAGGAGAGCCTGGGAACAGGTCACACTGCCTCCTGCAGCTGAGTGCCCCGGCCAGCCGGCTCCTTTCTGGAATGGTGCACTGGGGCGCATCAGCTGACCTTCACCTCTCTAAGTGGCACTGGGGAAGAAACGGGGCAGTGATGTTTGTTAGAGATGTATTTCCCCCGTGCTGGGGTAGGAAATAATTGCACTTTGCTCCCCCTCCCTGTACGCAGTTCTCACACTGGTGAGCCCCTGTGTGTCCTACCATAGTGATTCCAAACACTGGTGACATGTCCCCAAGGTGGGTTTGGGAGCTGCCCCCAAGATTTCCTGTTGCACATTTACATTGCATGGAAGGCAAATAAACCCTGCTCGAGTGGTGTGAGCATAGAGCTGGAAGCCAGAACCTTCTGTGCAGGCATCCCAGCATTGCCGCTGGTTGAGCCGGTTGGATGTTTTCTCGGGGAACCTTTCTCCATCAGGAAATTCCGAGTCTCCGTCTGTGAAACATGTTGATTGGTTTGGAAAGGCCCCATGCAAAGCGCGCCGATGATGTCGGAGTGCTCCGTGGTGACAGTTTGGAAGGGAACATTTTGGATTTTATGTCGGAACAACTTTCTGTTTTGCTGTTTCTTTTATATTATAAAATAACAAACATTTAAAACAACAAAATTAGCCAAAATAGAATTTTGTTTTGTGGGAGATTTTTAATACTCCCCCCACCCCCAATTTTGGAACATTTCACACAGAATGGGAAATCGAGTCTAGCTCTGCCACTGACTCAGTGTGTGGCTTTTGGCAAATCATTTAATCTCTCCATGGCTTGTCTATAAAGCAGGGTGATATTTTATTGTCCCTTAGGAGGCTAAGTCAGTAAGTGTACAGAGCTTTGCCCACAGAAAGTGCTACAAAGGGAGGACTGTAAAAGAACCATTTTCAAATCCTCGTCTTCCCTGACCCTTGCTGAGAGGCACTTGCTGTGTGGTGCTATCTCAAATTGCAGCGCTAAAAGCAAATGCTTCATAGCACCTGCAAGCTTGCAAGAGCAGTGATCAAATGAGAAAAAGCCTAAAACTCTTAATTCTGGCGTATCAGCTGCCAGAATCTGATTGACAGTGAAGTGGGAAAGCGAGGACCGTCACCAGAACAGTGTAAACTTCATCTGTGGTTGGCCTGACATTAGTTATTGCATTCCGGTGCTGTGGCTGGTGGGGCGGAGGTTACGTGTAGGAGGGAACAAAGATAAACGTTAAGCTCCCTTTGTACTCCCCCTAGTTGGAGCCTTGAACAGATCTGCCCAGCGCCAGTGTAAATTAGAGCAGCTCTCAGGCTGCTCTGTGCGAAACTGTTTCCCCCGGTCCCTAGGAAGTGTGCAATGGCTTTGGGGGCATGGCCAGAGTGCACTGCCCCTCCCCCCCCGTGTTGGTGCTGGCATGGAGCCCCACCCCAGCTCTTTACTGGTCAGGGAGGCCCCTTGCCCTAGAGATTTTTCTCAGGGGCTATTTCTCCCCATTTTGAGATCCCTTTACTTTGCCGGAGGGACATGAGCAGGGTGTTCAATAGGGATGTAAAATCCCAGTTAATGGGTTAAACCTTAGGTTTAACCAGTTAACCGATTAAGTGGGATCCCACTCCTCCCTCCGCATGGGGCTGCCGTTGCCACCCCCCATGCAGGGAGAGGGGGCAGCAGCAGGAGCTAGCAGCCATGCACATTGGGGAGCCGGCTCCTGCTCCACCCCTCCCCCATACATGGGATGTCCGGTTTCTGCTCCCATCCTTCCTTTCACCTCCCCCTTCATTCACTCCTCTCCCCCCGCCAAGATCCCGCACCCCCAGCTTGCTCCTGAGCCCTCCCCTGGTCAGACACCCTACTCCCAGTCTGCGTCTGCACTCTACCTCCCATCCAAACCTCGCAACTTCTCCCCCTTCTGCACCCCATCCCTATCCCACTCACTGGCAGCCCTGTCTCTCACACTGAACCCCTCATTTTTGTCCCTATCCAGTAGCCTAAGGGATCTAAGGTTGCCAGGTGTCTGTTTTTGAACTGGACAGTCCAGTATTTGAGCTTTCTGTTCGGGAAACAAATTGAGAAAATATAAACGTCCGGTATTTTGTAAATAAGATGCAATGTAGATTGTGATGTAATGTCAAGTGTATCCGGTATTTTTGTTGAAACCATCTGGCAACCCTGAAGGGGTCCATAAAAACCACTAACTCTGGAACCCCAGAAAAGTAAATCTGGGCTATGGGAAACCCTGAACCTCAGTCCTCCTGTCCCTTCCTCTCACCCCATGAGGCTGGAGTGCCAGAAGAGTGAAATGTCCCAGTTGGGGGCCACATTAGTGAGGGTTGGGGGGAGGGGTTGGAGGGTTTTTTTGTTCTTATTTGTGTGGTCCCCAACTGATTTTTCTGTGGGCCAGTGGCCCCAAACCTAATAAGGTTCCCCATCCCTGCCATAAATAAAGAAAACACTGAAACCTTTTGTGTTGGACATAAATTAATATTTTACTTCATTTAAAATGAAGTTTGATAAACTAACGAGAGAGTTAAAATGCATAGTCTGTGTAATAATTTAAATTAAACCGTTCTCCCTAGCTGCAGCTGGTTCATAAAATACAGTTACCGTGCCCAGCCTGCCCCTTTCCCCTCCTCCTCCCGGCATGAAGATCCATAAATAGAAGTGAATAAGTTATATCTTGGCATGCCCCTTTGAAAGGTTGCTGACGTGTGGATTTAATAACCAGGGATATTTGGATACTCTCCTCTGACCCCTTTGCTTATTATCTCACCAGAACCATCATGACAATCCCATCCGTGCCGGGGTTACCGTCGCATCGCTCCATCCGGCCCTACACCGTCTACGAACTGGAGCAAATCAGGCAGCACACCCGCAAGTATGGTGCCCAAGGAAGTGAGGGGCCATACTCCTATTACTGGGCTTCAAATGTGGGCAGGAGAGGGGTGGTTGGGAGTGAAGAGCTCTCCATCGCAGCTGCCAGCGGTGACTGTGTGGAGGTTCCTCTGCTAGCAGGTTTGGGCAACAACAGCAACTTGGACCTTCCAGGCAGGTGGGAGCCTTCCTGGCCTGCCTTCCATTGCCATGTCTTGGAATTGGTGGAGATTGTCCTGCATCCCCCTCCCCCCAACCCTGCCCTCAATGCGGCGTCACCCTGCTGAAGGCCTCTCTTCCTTGCAGAGGGCTGACTGTGCCATCTCCTGCCACTCTCCAGCCTGGGGTTTTGATGCATCAAAGCCTTGTGCTGCTATTTGCCCATTGAATTAACACAGCTTCCTGAAGCCCAGAGCTGGAATCCCTGCACCTGCCCAGTCATAGTACGCCCACTTCTGGAACACTGTGCAGATGTGGTCACTCATCTCAGAAAAGTTATAGTAGCATTGGAAAAGGTTCAGAAAAGGGCAACAAAAATGATTAGGGGTTTGGAACGGGTCCCTTATGAAGAGAGATTAAAAAGCCTGGGACATTTCAGCTTAGAAAAGAGGAGATTGAGGGGGGATATGATCGAGGTGTGTAAAATCATGACGGGTATGGAGAAAGTGAATAAGACCATAGCATAAGACCTAGGGGTCACCACATGAAATGAATAGGTTGCAGGTTTAAAATAAACAAACGGAAGTTTTTCTTCACACAGCGCATGGCTGGCCTGTGGAACTCCTTGCCAGAGGAGGTTGTGAAGACCAGGACTTTAACAGGGTTCAAGAAAGAACTAGATAAATTCAGGGAGGTTAGGTCCATCAATGGCTATTAGCCGAGATGGGTAGGAATGGTGTCTTTAGCCTCTGTCAGAGGCTGGGAATGGGTGACAGGAGAGGGATCATTTGACAGTTCCCTGTTGTGTTCACGCCCTGTGGGGCATCTGATATTGGCCACTGTCAGCAGACAGGCCACTGGGCTAGATGGACCTTTGGTTTGACCCAGCATGGCCGTTCTTATGTTCTTATAGGGGAAGGGATTTTATCCACACTGTTGTGAATTGTCTCATGGGGGCATCTGTGTGTGATGTCCCAGATGTCTGGACTGCTCCTTAAATCAAGGCACTGAGACTTGAGGGCGTGGTACTGGAGTGTCGTTATATTCCCCTGGTGCTCTCCGTATAGACTCTGGGGTGGGTTTTCTAGGGACCATTGCTTTGATTGTTCAAAAGTCCTGGTCAGGATTGGGGTGGGGATGATTCATGGATCTTGCAACCCCATTGATCTCCCTGAGGTTTCACTGGTGTGAGTGAGAGCAGACTTTGCCCTGCAGACAATCACAAAGGGTTAGCTGACCCTTTTCCCCTCACAGTAAAACCTTTGAAAATCCTCCAGCTGCAACCATGGCAGATTGTAGGCATGAGCACAGCCCCAAACTCAGTGCTGTGTGATGCCCAGACCCCTGTCACACGAACAAGGAAACTCTTCTGTGGCAGAGAACCAACCACTTCAGCCAGTGTGCCATGAGTTTTGTGGGGTCTCAGCCCTGTGGAAAACCCAGCACAAATGGTCGCTTTTGGGAGCTGTCTCCCTGGACGAGGGAGGATGGTGTTCCAAGGGAGTACAGTGATGCTGTCAAGTTTGGAGAGGAAGTCAGTTTTGTCCTGGAGGAAGGTGGCCCTGTGTGATGTGGCACTGTCAACCTTCACTCCGTTTTAGCATTGTTTTTTGCCCGGAGATTGCTGGAAAGCACATATTGGCGTGTCCAAAGAGGAACAGTTGTTGTGCTTTGTTTATAGATTCTTTCATTCCCAGATCTCAAGTGCTTTGCAAATGTTACTGGACATCTCACCACTCCTGTGACATGGTAGAATTTTGTGATGTGCATTTTACATATGGGGAAAATGCAGGTGCAGGGAGGCCAAGTCACGTATTCCAAATCTTATAGTGAGTTGGGGAAAGTTAGGGTAGGAATTCTGACTTCATTCCTCTTTCCTTCCCACTAGTGTTGTGTGCTAATGTGTGCTTGGGTTGGGCTTCAGCCACCTTTCTGGGATTCACATGGGCTGGTACAGCCCAGCTTGCCTGTTCTCAGGGGCATCGTACAACTCCCCGGACAGAGGAATGGCCTGGCCCCGCTGCCCTTCCACACGACAAGGCTCCGTGAAGGACCATAGAGGCTTGGGGGGCTGGCTTGCCTCTCACCACTCCCAGCCCTGGGTAACCTCTCCTTTCCTTCCCCCTCCCCCACCCAGTCTGAAGTTAGGGCCTAGCCCTTACCCTCGCCTGGATATGCTCTCGCCTGGATATGCTCCCGCGGGCCTTGGCAAGCTACGCAGCATCCACTCCAAGATGCTCATGGACATAGAGAAGGTGCAGATCCACTTTGGGGGCTCGGCGAAGGCCAGCAGTCAGATGATCAGGGAGATAATGCAGTCGCAGTGTCTCAGCCCAGGCCACTATAACAAACGGTAGGAGAGCAGGACCGAGTAGTGAGTATGTAGACAGAGCTGGGGGCTCTTATCCCAGCCCACACATCCTTGGTGGGGGGGCGTCTTGCGCTTTCCGTAGCGCTGCTCTCAGATACTGCGCTCCGGGCCCGCTGGAGAAGATCTCCCCCCGGTCTCCCCCGCAGGCCGCCCTGCAGAGAGGGTGCCTCGCTGTAGGAGAGCCCTACGCAGAGGGCAACCTCCTGTGCAAGAGGGTTGGCCATTCAGCAGAGCGGGCAACGCGGCCAGGCAGGGCTGCGGTGTCAGAGGCCCTCGTGGGTCAGACCAATGGGCCAGCTCGTCCGGTATCTTGTCTCCAGCCATGGCAAGTACCAGGCACTCCAAAAGAAACGGCAGGAATCCTACAAAGGGCTGGCAAGCAACCTGCCCACAGGGACAGTCCCTTCCAAGGTTATTCTGGATGGTGAGGGCTGGCTTCTGCCCCTGCCGCACGGCCATGGGTATCTCAGTCTCTTGCCCTGGGTGGGATGCCTACCAATCATGGTACAATAGGATGCAGCCCGGTCGTAGGGGATATCACGTGAGGGCGGAGGCTGATAAATACATAAGGCATTTGGGGGGCAGTAGAAACTGCACCTGGTTATCAAACTGGCCTGTACCCACCAGAATCTTTTTTTTTGGGGGGGGGAGGGTTAATATTTGTTTGACTCAATTTGTGATGAAATTGGTTCTGGATCTGTTGTCATGGCAGCTGTGCACATTCGATCTCCCCCTTGTGAGCGCCTGCGTGCTTCTTTTAACTGGTGTATTTGTGATTCTCGCCCTGACCCCACTCCGAATTGACCCACACTATGGCACGCAGCCCCCTCTAACCGGATGCGTTGCAGGCAGCAAGACCAGGCCCCAGACTCCTGCCTCCTCTGCCTCTGGGCCCCTTGCTCTGTGTCGGTCGTGCCCTTTGGGTTTTGCCACCTGGTTTGTGCTGCCGTTCTGTGTTGGGTGCTGCCCCTGCTCTGTGCATCGTGTGGGAGGCCTCTCTGCGTGTGTATGTTTCCCTGCGTCTGCGGCTCAGCAGCCAATCTGTGGACCCTAGGGCTGTAGTGATGGCGACTCCGTGGGGTAGGACAATGGGCCTTTCTGCTCAGGAGACCTCGGCCTGGGTTATTCAGGCACAAATGACAATGAGCCAACTTGTCCCGTCTGCATATGGGGTCCCTCGCAAAGGGGCTGGTGGTCTCTCATGCCCAATTCCCATTCACATCAGTGGGCACTGAGTGCAGAAAGTGTTGCAGGTCTGAGCCCTCCCCATAATGTGGTCTGCTCTGCTTGGGAGAGGCCTGTGTCTGGATGGGAGAAGCTTGTTTGGCACCTGCCCTTGTGTCTGGCTCTGAGAGCCCCAAATCAGGATACGTCTAGACTGCAGGCTTCTTTAGAAAGAAGCTTTTTCAGAAGATAGCGTTCACACTGAGTGGATGCTAGCTCACATGTAAGCTGGGGTGACTATGGACGGAATGGCCAGCAGGGCACCTGTGGTTTTTCCTCTTTCCTCTTCTTTTGAAAGAACCCCCCCTCCCCCGTCCACACACTCCTTTTTCCGAAAGAGCTCTTTTGGGAAAAGGCTTCTTCCTCGTAGAATGAGGTTTACCAGTGTCGGAAAAATCCCTCTGTTCTTTCAGGTTTTTTTTCTCAGAAGAACGCATTAGCAGTGTGGGCGTAAGTGACATTTTTTCGGAAAAACCCTGCAGTCTAGATGCACCCTCAGAGAGGAAGTGCCTGAACCCAGATCTGAACACACTGGGCTCTGGAGCCATTGGGATCCAGAACTAAGCTTAACAGCCCCTTCATCATAGGGCTCTCATGGTAGCATCCCTGAAAGGGCTCACCTCCAGCATCCTTTGAAGGTGACCTGCAAGGAAGGGGGCATCATTTTAAGCCAGTGCCCTTGTTTTGCTATATTGTTATAAAAGGAGCCTGAAAAGATTTTTCTTTTTTCTTCTTAGAAAGATCAAGCATGTCAAGCCCCTGCATTTGTTGGAGGACTCATTGAGGGTCTCAGCCTGGGAGCTTTCTCAGCACATAAATGTGGGGCTGTGAGGAAGGCGTTAAGACTTTACAAAAATCACTTTTCTACCAAGTGTTTTATCAGGACTCAAGTTACATGGATGCCAACAAAAATGTGCCCATCATTTTCAATAGGCTGCATGAAAGTCCCTTCCCCTCCCATCCATCAGGCATCACAGTCTGGGTGGGTCTTAGCTGTCAGGATCTCACCAGGTCTCTAGCTGTCCACAGGAGAAATGGGAGAGGCAAGTTAGCGACGTCCTGGCTTTCTTTGTCCCTGTAAAAGCCACAGTACAGGCCAGACACCCAGTTACTTCCCCATCACGGATCAGTGGTAACATGGGGACATGACAGCAGCAGGCCTTTGTGTCTTTGGCGACTTGCAAAGATAGGAAGCCTTGACTCCATGAGCCAGTGTGCACTGGAACTGGATCTGGGCTATCCGGGGCGCGGGGCTTTCTGCTGTTTCTCTCGCTGAGTTTGCAGCGTTGTTTTCACTGACCTGCAGTGACAAGATGACGGAAATGGCAGAGTACGGCTACCTGTCCATGCCTCGGCGCTGCGGTGGCAGCCACACCCTCCGGCGCTACACCCGGCTGCAGCAAATCGCCCAGTGTATGCCTGTGCATCCTGAGGAAACTACCATGCTGACAGTGATGAAGGTATCAGCGAGTGGGATGGCAGGGAGGGAGAGACACCAGGAACGTGGGAGCACAGCTCTCTGCTGGCCATTGACACCCAGTGCAAAGTGGGTGTAAAACAGGTCACGACATAAGTGTGTTGTACTGGGCTGGGAAGTTCCCCACCTGGAGTCTGCACCGCGGGCTTACTGGCGGTTCAAAGAGACAGCTGCCCGCTCCTGCTCCTTGGGCTGTTGAATCACAGGAAAAAGTCTTAAAAGCACCTGAGGTACAGGCCCAGGGCAGGGGCGCCAGAGCCAGTCTGGGCTTTGTTTGCAAGATGCTAATAATGTTGAGTCAATAAAGTGTATCCTCTTCATAAGGCTCAACTACACTAGGGACCTGTTGAAAAGACGTCCCTCGGTTGCTAACACCACTTCAGCTCCCCCGAAGCCAGGAGAGCAGACAGCCTCTGGGTCCCGGGGCACAGGGTGGGAGGGGGCAACTCCACACCCCTGGAAAGGGCGGGGCCTCAGGCAGAAGGGGCGGGGCCACGGCAACCAGCCCTCTGTGCTCATGGACCATAGCACACCCTTGCCCCTCAAAGTCACCCAGCGTGCTCCGCGAGGCGCTCCAGTGATGACTGACAGGGCCCACAGCGGCCAAACAGGCTGTTGGGTTCCACTGGAAATATCACTTTTGAATCATCTGGCAACGCTGGGCTTTTAAAACTCTTCCCTGAGCCAGTGTCCTGCATCTCTGCAGCTGCTGGATGTGAAATGGCGGGTCAGGGCTATTGAGGGTGAGAATTAGCAGAGCCTCTTGAATCACCAGCTCTTCCAGGAATAAGAGACGCAGGAAATGTGAGGGAGGAAACCTTTGTGCCGGGTCTCAGCTCCGGGAAAAGCCTTTTTTGTGCGGCTCTGGTTGAAAAGGGGCCCAGGGCAGGCTGGAGGCTCCCCTGTGGAATCACCCGGGCAGGAGGCCTTCCGGCAAGTGCAGAGTTGGTGTGATGGTTCTGCTGGCACAAGGACTGTCGGGCTTGGCTGGGAGCATGGCACTGTCCGCTCTGGATTTCCTGGCGGCTGTGAGAAGTAGAAGTCAGAAGAGCCCCGAGGCTGCTCCAGTTTACCCCGGGGACTGGGCAGCCCCTTTGATAGCCCCAGAATAAGGGGAACCTGAAGCCACAGTATCCCCAATTCCCAGCCCCGAGCGTGGGACTGGAGCAGTTGAGGATCCAGCTGTGTGTTACTGAGATCCTCTGGAATACAGAGGGGCTTGGTCTATATGGAGCCCCAGAATCTCCAGAGTCTCTGAGCACCAGAGCTTGTTTTCTAGCTTCTCTAGAATTTCTAAAGAAATTCCCCCATCTGCCACGCCAGTCTGGGGTGCAGAGTAACCCCCACTGGTTCGCCAGTCAGTCAGGGCTGCAGGTGCCTCTCGTTCCCAGCTCCACCCGCACCTGACCCAGAGGTCCATAGAGGTCAGACTAGACAGCTCTGACGATCCCCTTTGGCAGCACTGAGGCGTGCAGCAGTTAACACGCTTCCTCTCCTTGGCCCCCGAACTCGCCTTTGGCACCTCTCGTGCACCTGCCTCCCAAATAAGTCACCCCTCTGCAGCAGCTTTAACGCCGGCGCTCTGCGCTGGGCCCGTTGCCAGGTCTGTCGTCGGGACTGGCCGAGTGGCTAGAATGCTGGACTGGGACTCAGGCGAGTTAGGTTCTGTCATGGGCTCTGGTGTCACGTCACCGCCCAGTGCCTCAGTTTCCCTATCTGTGGCATGGGGACACTGATTTGGTGGAGCACTTCGAGATCTCCTGAGGAAAAGTGCTTGCTAAGAGCTAGGGGTAGTGGTTGTTCCTCCTGCAGTTTCTCAGGAGACCTTCTCCCTTGCAGGCCTTGCCACCCCACAGAGTCCGTCCTGGGAAACAAACCCAGGCGGCATTCCCTATTACTCGTGTGTGTACAAGCCACAATTCTCTGCAGAGAACAGGAGGCCCAAGTGGAAACACCCCAGACGTGGGGTTGGCACCTGTTCCAAAAGGGACATACAGCCAAGGCGTTCCCAGGTGCCTACAACATGCCCGGTTCCTGCGCACTGCCGTCAGTCAGAGCCTCCTCAGCCCTGGGACTGCACCCCAGAGCTTCCTCAGCCCACCCTGCCTGCTCCACCTCCACTGACAGAGCAGAGTAAGGAGGGGCAGGGAAGGGAGACAGTGAGCCACTGGATTAGACGGGACCAGAGAGGATGGGGGAAGGGAGGGTGTGTGAATGGGAGTAAGAGAGTGTGGCAGGGTGAGGACAGTGGAGCAGTGGCAGAGCTGGAGACGAGACATGGCCCAGAGGGAGGAGTTAATGAGCGGAATAGTGGCTTGGGCCCTGTCTGCATAAGGACATTGCTACTGGCTGGCTGTGCTTGCACCCATCAGTGATGCTCCAGTGCTGTTCCCGCAGGCACAAAGCCCATTCTGCACAGGAACAGTGCATCCAGATCCCAGCTGCATAATGCAGCCAGCTGGTGGAGCAGATTTCCTTAGTGTGGACGGGGCCCTGAGCACAGAGGGGTCGGTGCAGGGCAGCGTTCCCGAGCCATACGCGCGTTTTCTAGCAAGGGAAGGGAGGGGATTGCAGGGTGCAGAGCCTGCCACTGCTCCACGGGGGGGGGGCGAGGGGGGTGGCTGGGATCTGTCTGCCTGAATGATGGTCCAAATTCTACTAACTCTCTGGGTTTGGAGCCAAACCCATTCTGTTCAGGTGCCTGTGTTGTGCCCACCCCTGATATCTTTGAGCATCTTCCAGAACTAAGAATAATCCAAGTAGTATCCATCGTGGGACTTTCCCCTCCCTTCCTCCTGCCAAGGGGAAAGGTTTTGTGCCTGCATCTTTACAATGAATTAACTCCCCCCCTCCCTCAAACCTTTCCAATATGCCACATGTTGCTTTGGGGAGAAAGCAAGATAGAAACAATAGATCTAGAGAAACCTTCTCAAATGTGCCTTGGTGAGTTAGGAGCCTCAGGCCCTCCGAAAATCAACATGACATAGTCTCTAAGGGTATGTCTACACTACCCTCCTAGTTCGAACTAGGAGGGTAATGTAGGCATACTGCACTTGCAAATGAAGCCCGGGATTTGAATCTCCTGGGCTTCATTTGCATAAGCGGGGAGCTGCCATTTTTAAAACCCCGCTGGTTCGAACCCCGTGCAGTGCGGCTACACGGGGCTCGAACTAGGTAGTTCGGACTAGGATTCCTAGTAGTTCGAACTAGCGGGGTAGTGTAGACATACCCTGAGTGGTTTGGGAACTCTTGAGACCCCCAGATCGCAGGTTTAGCAGTGTAAATGCAGAATAACTCCATTGCATTTCTTAGCCTTTTGAGATCCAAGACCAGAATCTGGCCGCCCGGGTGTGATTTCCTTTAATGTACATTTCAGACCATCACATTCTTGGGGCCCACTCACCTTTCGGTAGAACAGTGCTTGGTCTTACATGGCAGGACTCCTCTCAGCCATTTGTACGGAGCGAGGGGAGCCACTGGCACGCTCTGAGGCTGGGACTGTGTGTGTGGCCCTGTGCACGTATAAACAACCCCTTCCCGGGTATCTTGGGAGTCTGATGCGCTGATGTTAGCGACTGAAACAGGGTGCTCCTGTGGTTGGCCCTGGAGAGCCAGCACGGCTCTGGGAGCACAAGCTGGATTCTCTTGTCTCATCAGCACTGGGAAGAACCCAGCTGGCCTCTTAGCTCCCGAGCTGAGGCTGGCGGGCGAGCAGTTAGAGAAGCTGTAATTTTCTGTGCAAACTGGGCAGGCTGATCTGGAGTCACTGGGAGCCCCAGCGAGACTGTCCTTATACCGAGTCACTGCTCTCGTAGAACCCTCCCTTGAAATGACCATAGAGCAACGAACCGCTGAGCCAGCGCTTCCCTGGCCAGTGCTTTTCAGCTCATTCCCAGCCATTTTCACTGCTGGGCATGTCAAAGAACTCTGTCCCCCAGTCTGCCTTCAACCCAGCCCCATCTCTGCCTTCCCTTCCCAGCACGAAGAGGTGGATATCCTGGGCCTGGATGGACACATCTACAAAGGGCGGATGGACACGAGGCTCCCATCAATTGCATGCAAGGAGGGTAAGTCTGATCCCCTGGATGTTTTCTTTGGGGAGCCTGTTGTTGATAGTAGATAGCTGTTTCTTCCTGCTGGCCAGCACGGGGGGTTTAGTGCAGAGAGGGGGGTTCCCTCTTCTGTATGTTCCCCCAGAATGGATCTGCTGTCCATGTGGCACCTAGAATTGGGCCACTCTGTGATGTGAGGTCTTTATTAGGTCTTGTATTTATTAGGCCTTGGGGATACTACAGGCAGTCCCCGACTTACGTGGATCCGACTTACGTCGGATCCCTAGATACGAACAGGGTGAGGCAACTCCCGCACATGCGCAGCAGCATTCCCGGGGCTCGCTCACCTGGGTCCTAGGATCCTCCTCCTCCTCGGGCCGGCTCCGACTGGGGTCCCGCAGAGCTGCCGGGCAGAGGAAAAGTGCCTCCCCACGCCCGCTGCCCCCCCCCACCCCCCTGCCAGCAACAGGCTGCCCCCTCCCCTGAGCAACAGGCTGCCGAACAGACAAAAGC